TTTTATTAAAAGTTTACCTAAGGATAAGCTGAGGAACAACTGACAACTAAGGTTCAAACTAGTCTAATATTTCTGTCTTGCTTCTGATTGTGTACATATGAATCTCAAACATATAAGCACTTCTGACAAATCCCAGATCTGCCAGCTCACCAGTCCAGGTTTGACTAAGTATGAAGGAATTTTATACTTGGTGGTGTAGCATGCATTTTAGTTACAGAATGTTCTGTGTTGTATTAAGCACATGATTTGTAAATGCTGCAAGTCATACATATCAAGGATTACAGTGAAGGAGATAAGTATTTGATCCCCTGCTGATTTTGAATGTTTGCCCACTCACAAAGAAATGATCAGTCTAAAAAATCAGATGGTAGGTGTATTGTAACACCGAGAGACAGAATAGCAACAAAAATTCAAAATAAGTGCATGTCTAACAAATGATGCACTGATTTGCATGTTCATGAGGGAAATAAGTATTTATTTACTTCAGGTACTTATATAGCACCATCAACTTATGCAGCGCTTTACATATATATATTGTACATTCACATCAGTCCCTAACCCTCAAGGGGTGTACAATCTAAGGTCCCTAACTCACATTCAAACATACACATACCAGGGACAATTTGGACAGGATCTAATTAACCTAACAGCATGTCTTTGGACTGTGGGAGGAAACCAGAGTACCCAGAGGAAACCCACGCAAACACAGGGAGAACATGCAAACTTTAGGCAGGTGGTGCCATGGTTGGGATTCAAACCAACGACACTAGTGCTGCAAGGTGGAAGTGCTAACCATTTAGCCACTGTGCTGCCCATGAATATTTGATCCCCTTCACAAAACATGACTTAGTACTTGGTTGCAAATCCCTTGTTGGCAATCACAGAGGTCAGATGTTTCCTGTAGTTGGCCACCAGGTTTGCACACATCTCAGGAGGGATTTTGGCTCACTCCTCTTGGCCAATCCTCTTCAAGTCCTTAAGGTTTGGTGGCAGATGTTTGGCAACTCGAACTTGCAGCTCCCTTCACAAATTTTCAATTGGACTAAGGTCTGGAGACTGGCTAGACTATTCGATTTTTAGACTGATCATTTCTTTATGAGTGGGCAAACATTCAAAATCAGCAGGGAATCAAATATTTATTTCCTTCACTGTATATGCTTACATAGACCCATTCGATGACATACAATACAAGAAGCAGTGTTGATGTGCAAAGTGCAACAGCCCATCTTGACCAATCAAAAATGATCACTTTATAGCTATGACTAAAGTAAAGTAAGATCTTATTGTTTTGGATCTGGCAACTTCTCTTTTTGAATGATCTTACTGAATGAGCCATCTATTTATGTCAGTCTATCTACTCTTTTTATCCTGAATGTAAATTACATAATGAATATTCTATGCTGCTCTAGGTGCATATAACACACATCATAAGTTTTCTTTTCTATAGTTTTTGATATTTTTACTTATTGTGCCTTTCTTTTTACTAGTGCCATGTAGTTGTCTTTTCCTTGCTCCATTTCATTGCTAGGCTTCTGGCCAGAAGATAATCCAAAGTGTAAATAACAGACAAGTGCCAGTTTGCAGAAGGACAGTACCAGTGCAATGACCTTGTGATGTTAATTGGAAAGAAAAGAAAGACCATAAGCATAAACTGTGTTGCACTAAATAACTCTTCATTAATAATCTTTCGAATGCACTTACAGTATATCAAAGCTGTAAGATAGCTAATGAATCAATCTGAGCATGAGGAAAATGTCACTTCAGCTACACATTTACTACTTAACAAATGGATAGCTTAGAAAGCTGTGTGGTCTGATACTGCATGTATCTTGCAAAGTAAACTCTTCTTCCATTAACGTGTTCAAGCCTGCTTATACAGGAATGAATATTTCAGTACTGAAATATCTAACTAAAGTTTTAAACTAAAAATAGATGCTTTGTATAAGCCATTGAGTGTGCATATGTATGGACTTGGCTGTAGGGCTCTATGAGCTAAATGGCATTTTTACTTTTTCAGTCAGGGAAAGTATATGTATGGCCAAAACCTTTTTTTTTGTTATGAACAAAGTGCTGAAGAAGTAGAACCCCTGTTGGGTTTTTATAAGCAGCTGTGGGCAGCACAGTAGCTAAATGGTTGGCACTTCTATCTGGCAGTACTAGGGTCATTGGTTCAAATCCCAACCATGGCAGAGGGGGTGGAGCCTGACTATGACGGCACGGGAGAGTGTGCAGTAAGCACTCTCCGTTAGCCTCCCCTTGTCTATCCTCCCCATGAGTCCCCGATAGAGAGACCAGCTGCATCGAGGGTGAGCGGTGACTCACCCGACTGGAGACGGTACGCGGTGTCCCGGAGATGGTCGGCTTCCTGGACCTGGGAGAGAGCTGGCAGAGAGCCGGGAGAGGAACGCCTCGGGGCTCTCCTCTGACGTCCTGCGGAGGCTTAGGAGGAGGAGTGGAGTTGCCGGGGAGACGGTCGGGCTGTCGGTCAGATAGCCTGGAGCCAGGAGAAAGCCGACTTCGGAGGAGGAGTGAGGTTGCCAGGGAGACACTAGTGAGACGGATGAGGCAGTGGAGCGGCGCCGACACGTGGGCAGCCGCAGAGAAGCCCTGGGAGATCCGGGTGTGGGAGAGCTTGCCTGACGTGTAAACAAGTAGGAGAAGTGGAGGAGGTAAACCAGCACACTCCTTTCACATCACACCATCTCCACCCTATCTTCCTGAGACCTCAAAATCTCCCTGCTGCCATACCATTCCTACATCATACTATCCCTATTGCCTTACACCACTGCTACAATAATGCTAACCCTCTAAACTTCTATATCTTTCCCAATCTTTAACCTAATACATACCAGTACATCACCTCCAAAATAAGGAGATATCTGATGGGAAAGATAAGTGACTTGAGCCATATTAGACCCACAGGAATCCCCTTAAGAACTTATAATGACAAAAGAGGACTGCTTCTGGAGTGATATCCCAACGTGAAGGGTGAGTGAGGACTGTGGGCCTTCCTGCAGGTCTTATTCTACATTATATATTGGACCTGTACATTGGAGCCTTATATACATTGATTCCTCGTATTAGACTTTCAGATGCCCATAGTAAGACTTTGCATTAATTATACAATCTGAAAATAAAAGAGATAGGGGATTCCTAGGGCGGGTCTGAAGATCGGGAGGAGTAGGTGTCCAGGAGAGCAGGAAACAAGAGTAAAGGCTTTAAAAATAAAATGAAAGGTAAAAACATCAAAGGGAGTGGGCCTAAGAACTCCCAAACTGGTACGATCAAGAAGTATGTGTCACAGGGAAATGTTACCCCAGAAAGATCTCAGGGAATAAATGAAAAAAGTGAATTGGAAATAAGTCTGGATAATAGCCCGAGACTCTCCCTGGGCCCGGTATATAATAGCCAACAATTAATGGAAGGCACTGATCTGAGAGATCGTGAAAGAGATATGCAAATACCTAATAAAAAAGAAATGGCGGAGATGTTTAAAGGCTTGGAAAAATCAATGAAGCATGAAATGGGGATGATTCGGGAAGAAATGGGACAATTGTTAACTAGGGTGGAAGAAATGGAGGAAAAAGTGCAAACTTATACCCAAACCATCCCAAAATTAGAAAAATGGATACTAGAATATAGAAAAGAACAAAGGAGATTGCTCTATATGATGGAAGAACAAGAAAATAGAGAAAGGAGAAATAATCTCAGAGTAAGAGGAGTCCCGGAACTGTCACAGGGGGAAGATTTAAAAGACTTAAAAGAGCTAATTGGCAAAATTTTTGAACTCCATAATGGATAAAATGGATGAGGAGATGTTTAAATTGGACGGAGTATACAGGATTGGAAAGTATCAACAAGACAAAGGGATAGAAAAACCAAGAGATATAATTGTTAAATTCCATAACTACGGAGATAGAGAAGAGATATGGAAAAAGATTAAAGGAAAAACAAATATTACATACGGAGAGAAAATTATTCAAATTTTTGCAGACTTAACATCAGAGACTCTGAGAAGGAAGAGATCACTGAAACCCCTATTAGAAGTGATGAAAAAACATAGTGTGAAATACAGATGGGGCCGTGATACAAGTTTAATCGGGTGGAGGGATGGAATTACAGCTATCTTAAAATTTCCGGAAGATATGGAAGATTTCTGTGATAAACTTGGACTGCAGAGACAAGTGATACCGGGTTGGGTGGAAGTGGAAGAGGGAGAGTTGGACACTGGTAGATTAGGAAAATGGCAGTTGGTTAAAAGAGGAAATAGAGAGACAATAGATAAGGGGACATTGGGGAGGATTGGGGAAGGTGAGCGGTCATAGTTGGAGTCGAACCCCTATAGAGGGATCAAAGGTGGAACATGATACAAAAGGCAAAGGAGGCCTGGGAGGGGGAGGATGTTGGGGAGGGGGGAGGGGAAAGGGGAGGGTTATGGTGAGGGAGGGGGAGAAAGGATGGTATAGGGGGAAGCTTTTAAAAATACTCTGCATAGCGAGGAGATGTATACAAGACATATGGAAGATATAAAGTTTATAACTTACAATGTAAAGGGGTTGAATAGTCCTGGGAAGAGATTTAAGCTATTTAAGGAGTTGCAACATAGAGAAGCTTCGGTAGTTTTTTTACAGGAGACGCATTTTGAGATTAACTCAAATATTAAATTAATCACCAGAAACTATCCAACATGGTTCTATGCAGACTCTCCAATTAACCACTTCCCGACCGGCCGTTGTATATAAACGGCCGGACGTTGGCACTGCAGGGTCGGGTGGCTGTCTATAAACGGCCTCCCCGCACCCTGCTTGTGCGCGCTCCCTGGGAGCGCGCAGCACCGCGATCCGGTGCCCGCTGTGTCCTCCGAACACAGAAACACCGATCGTCGGACGGGACCTCTGTACGAGGTCCCGATCATGTGATCACTGATTGGCCAATCAGTGATCACATGCAAAGTAGTAAGCAAGATGTCACTTCTGACATCATTGCTTACTATGTGTGAAATCTGTGAATGATCACAGAGGTCACATGGTACAAGGCTATTCACAAAAGCCTTGTACCATGTGACAAGCTGTGACCAATCACAGCTCACTCTGTATTTCTCAATGAGTGCAGAAATGCACACAGAAAGAGAAATGATTGCTTTTACATCCTATATGGGTGTAAAAGCAATCAGTGTAAAAAAAAAAATAAAAAATCTTTATCACCCCTCACAAGTAGTACAGTGTCACCATGGTGACACTGTACTGCTAGGGTGACAGTATGTAAGAAAAAAAAAAAATAATAATAATATATAAAAAATTAAAATAAAAATGTAAAAAAAAAATGTTTAAAAATTATAATTTTTGCTTATAAACTAATTTGGATTTTTTTTTTTTACTAAAAAGATAACGGAATAAATTTTGGCTAAGATTTATGATGAAATATAATTTATTTGCAAAATTTTATTAAAAAAACACTTTTTAAAAAATTTTTTGGACATTTCATTTACATAGCAAAAAAAATACAAACCCCAGTGGTGAATAAATACCACAAAAAAATAAAGCTTTATCTATCTAAAAAAAAATGGTAAAAAAAAAAATTCATTTGGGTACAGTGTTGCATGACCACGCAATTGTCATTCAAAGTGTGAAAGCGCTAAAAGCTGAAAATTGCCCTGGTCAGGAAGGGGGTAAAAGTGTCCGGTCTGGAAGTGGTTAAAGAGAGCTAAGGGGGTGGCAATTGGGTTTGCTAAAAATGTAAGGTGGGAGGTAGAGGAGAGAGAGACGGATCCTGAGGGGAGATTTTTGTTTTTGAAAGGTAGATTGCAGGAAATAGAGTGTACAATAGCGAATATATACTGCCCAAATAAGAGACCAGAAGTATACCTGAAAGGGATATTAACCACTTCCTGTCCGGACACTTTTACCTGCTTCCTGTCCAGGGCAATTTTCAGCTTTCAGCGCTATCACACTTTGAATGACAATTGCGCGGTCATGCAACACTGTACCCATATGAATTTTTTTACCATTTTTTTGAGGCAGATAAAGCTTTATTTTGGTGGTATTTATTCACCGCTGGGATTTTTATTTTTTTTGCTATGTAAATAAAAAAGTCCAAAAAAAGTTTGAAAAAAAGTGTTTTTCTTATAAAATTTTGCAAATAAATAATCTTTCATCATAAATCTTGGCCGAAATGTATTCCGTTATCTTTTTAGTAAAAAACAATTAAGCCAAATTAGTTTATAACCAAAAATTATAATTTTTAAACATTTTTTTACATTTTTTTTTTTTTTTTACATACTGTCACCCTAGCAGTACAGTGTTTCCATGGTGACACTGTACTACTTGTGGGGGGTGATGAAGATTTTTTTTTTATTTTACAGTGATTGCTTTTACACCCATATAGGATGTAAAAGCAATCATTTCTCTTTCTCTCTGTCTGCATTCTTGCAGCCATTGAGAAATACTGAGTGAGCTGTGATTGGTCACAGCTTGTCACATGGTACAAGGCTGTTGTGAATAGCCTTGTACCATGTAACCTCTGTGATCATTCACAGATTTCACACTTAGTAAGCAATGATGTCACAAGTGACATCTTGATTACTACTTTGCATAGAGGTCCCGTCCGACGAACGGTGTTTCACTGTGTCCGGAGGACACAGCGGGCACCGGATCGTGGTGCTGCGCGCTCCCAGGGAGCGTGCACAGCTAGAAATGGTGGGAGCCATTTATGAATGGTAACCCGCCTCTGGAGTGCCTCCGTCCTGCCGTTTATAAACAGCAGGTGGACAGCAAGTGGTTAAGAAAGTTGATGGATTTTAAAAAGGGAAGACTGATAGTGGCGGGAGATTTGAATCTATGTTTAGATCCACAGATGGATACAACTTCTCGTGTGCAACAAGAGGGAGGTAGGTCTATGAGGACCTTAAAGAAGGAGATACATGAGGGCCAACTAGTGGATATATGGAGAATAACGCATGGAAAGGAAAGAGACTATACCTTCTTCTCTAATGCACACGAGACTTATTCGAGATTGGATTATATAATGGTAGATCATCAACTTATCGAGAGGGTGGTTAAAGTAGAAATAGAGACAATGACTATCTCAGACCATGCCCCAGTTATAATGAAGGTAAGATGGGGGAGGCAGTTGACAAGGGGGGTAGGATGGAGGTTAAATGAGGCCCTTCTATTAGATCAAGAGATCGATCAGCAGATCAGAAAAGAGATGGAAAGATACTTTCAAGAGAATGAAACAGGAGATGTGTCAGTGGCCACTGTCTGGGAATCCCATAAGGTATATATTAGGGGTATATTGATCGCGCTAGGGGCAAAAAAGAAAAGGGAAAGGAGTAAGAAAATGACGGGGCTCTTAAAAGAAATATATGACCTAGAACAGATCCATAAAAATAGAATAACAAGTGAGACAAGGCAGAAGGTAATAGGAAAGAAGAAAGATTTGGAGATATTAATGGAAGAAGAAAGGAGGAGAGTACTCAATAAAGTAGCAGCGGAGAGGTATAGATGGGGAGATCGACCAGGAAAACACTTAATGAGAGCCCTGAGAAAAAAGAAAAATAGAAACTATATAGAAAAAATAAGAAATCCCAAGGGAGAAATGGCTCACTCTACTAAAGAGATCGGGAAGGTGTTCAAGGAATATTATAGCAAGCTGTATAAAATTAATTCTCAGAATTTAGCAAATAATAGTGAAAATGAAAACAGAGAAAAAAGAAGGGCATATTTAAAAAATGCAGGTCTACCAAAGATAGATGAAGATCTATTGAGATCCCTGGAGTTGGAAATTACGCAGGAGGAAATAAAGATAGCGTTGAAAGATACTAAGCTGGGGAAAAGCCCTGGCCCAGATGGATATACCGTGAGATATTATAAAAAATATAGTGAACTGTTAATACCTAAATTGAAGGAGTATATGAATGCCCTGGGTGGAGAAATGGAGATTAGACAGGAATCCCTACAAGCCCATGTAACACTTATACATAAGGAAGGGAAGGACGCTACTCAATGTTCTAGTTATAGGCCAATTGCACTCCTAAATATAGATACAAAGTTATATGCAAAGGTTTTAGCAAATAGGATGAAAGACTTGATGCCAGAATGGATCCAGGGGGATCAGGTTGGTTTTGTATCGGGGAGAGAGGGTAGAGATAATGGAATCAGAACTATGTTGTTGATCCAGAAAGCTAAGAAAGGGAAAACCCCCCGCAGTGGTGCTCTCGATCGATGCTGAAAAAGCTTTTGATAGAGTAAACTGGAGCTTTATGATGGATACCCTAGAGATCATGGGAGTAGGTGGTAGAATGAGGGAGTGGATAGGAAAGCTGTATAAAATGCCATCCGTGGTTATTTTGGTTAATGGTGAAAAGTCTGAGCCCATAGGGATGTCAAACAGGACAAGACAGGGATGCCCACTGTCCCCATAGCTGTATGTGTTATCATTGGAACCTTGTTGGAAACGTAGATATAAATAAAGGGAATACAAATAGGGGAAACTGAACATAAAGTGGCAGCTTTTGCAGACGACCTGTTGTTTTATGTGGGAAATCCTAGGATAACACTCCCGAATTTAATAAAAAGTTTAAAAGAGTATGGGGAAATATCAAACTTAAACATCAACCCGACAAAAACTGAGATCTTAAATGTAAATCTTCCAAACAGTGAGAAAGAAAAGATACAAAAAGAATTCCCTTTTATATGGAGAGATAGAGAGATAAAATATTTAGGGGTTAAACTTACTGCTTCATATACAAAATTGTATAAATTAAATTATATTGCTCTTCTAAATGAGATCAAAGAGGAACTGAAGATACTGGGAAGAGGAACCCCCTCTTGGTTAGGACGAATAAATCTGATAAAAATGATAATTGTACCCAAAGTCTTGTATAAATTTCAGATGATCCCAATAAGACTCCCAGAGGCCTTTTTTAAAGAAATTAAAAAAATGATAACAAAATTTATATGGAAAAATAAAAAACCTAGAATATCCTATGATCTGATGAGTAGAGGTAAAGAGAGAGGGGGATTGGGAGTGCCAGATTTTAGGAGATACTATAATGCTGTAGTTTTAACAAGAATTTATGATTGGACACACAATATAAGGGGGAAAAGGTGGGTTAAGATAGAGAACGATCTGAGTGGAGTTGACCTGAGTAGAAACATATGGGCACCAGCACAATATAGAGGTTTAAAAAATACCACGAGTGTGTATACACTGAATGTTTTAAAGGTTTGGGATAATTTACATAAACGTATGAAGTGGGATTTTAATTCACAATTAATGTCACTAAGGAATATGGAGTATTTTCCACCAGGTATAGAGGGGAGTATGGGAAAATGGAATAAAAAGGAAGACATTCAATAAGGGATATTATGGATGGAGAGAAATTGAAAACATTAAAAGATTTAAAGAAAGGTGGAAAGGAACTTTTTATTAAGATTGATGAGTGGAAATATCACCAATTAAAACACTTTGTTGAGAGCCTTCCGAAACCTATGAGAGGGAGAAAGGAATGGAACCTGTTTGAGAAGTTGTTGGAATCACGGGGAGAGGGGAAACGGGGCACGGCAAAAATATATAAAATTCTCACTGAGTTAGTCACGGAGGTAAAACCAATGTACATAGAAAAATGGGAAAAGGACTTGGGGATAGAGATAGATGAGGATAAACAGAGGAAAATATATAGACTCACACATGAAAATATCAGCATGAGAGAAGTGGAGGTAAATTATAAAAGTTTGGTAAGATGGCACATCACACCAAAGGTGGAACATAAAATGGGTATAGAGAGAACACAAGAGTGCTGGCGTGGGTGTGGAGGGATTGGTACGTGGTTTCATATTTGGTGGGAGTGCCCAAGGATTCAAAGTTTTTGGGAGAAAAACGGTCAACTTAATAGAGAAAATCTCAGGGATAAAGATAGGATTAGATCCAGAAGTGTGTTTGTTACATAAGACAGATATACCAGTGAATAAATACAAGGATTCGGGTATATGGTACTATGTGAATGCAGCAAAGGGTTTGATACCTAAATTCTGGCATAGTTTAGAGGTTCCGAGAGAAAAGGACTGGGTAGAGAGAGTAAATCAGATTAGTAAGATGGAGAAATTATACTATATCCAAGAAGGTAAGATGGAGATATATAATAGGAGATGGGAGAAATGGGAAGATTTTGTACATCAAACGAATATATATGAAGCAATAAGAAATGAGAAGAGAAGTTTCTTGATTTTATAGGGAAGGAGACAAGAGAAAAAAATGCAGAGTGGGGGGGTGGAGGGATGTGGTAGGGTGTAGGGGTAGAGGTATGGGATATAAATAGGGGGAAATAGAAGGAGATAGGATTAAGAATTTTATATATGATATGAGAAGGTTGATGAAATGTATTGTTATGGTCTTTTTCTTTTCCCTTTTATTATATATGTATTTATAAATATAAAAAATCAATAAATATTTGAATTAAAAAAAAAAAATCCCAACCATGGCACCACTTGCCTGGAGTTTGCATGTTCTCCTGTGCCTGCGTGGGTTTCCTCTGGGTGCTCCAGTTTCTTCCCACACTCTAAAGACATGCTGGTAGGTTAATTGGATCCTGTCTAAAATTGGCCCTAGTATGTATAGGTGAAACTCGAAAAATTAGAATATCGTGCAAAAGTTCATTTATTTCAGTAATGCAACTTAAAAGGTGAAACTAATATATGAGATAGACTCATTACATGCAAAGCAAGATAGTTCAAGCCGTGATTTGTCATAATTGTGATTATTATGGCTTACAGCTCATGAAAACCCCAAATCCACAATCTCAGAAAATTAGAATATTACATGCAATCAATAAAACAAGGATTGTACATAGAACAATATCGGACCTCTGAAAAGTATAAGCATGCATATGTACTCAGTACTTGATTTGGGCCCCTTTTGCAGCAATTACTGCCTCAGTGTGGTGTGGCATGGAAGCTATCAGCCTGTGGCACTGCTGAGGTGTTATGGAAGACCAGGATCCTTCAATAGTGGCCTTCAGCTCTTCTGCATTGTTCGGTCTCATGTCTCTCATCTTTCTCTTGGCAATGCCCCATAGATTGTCTATGGGGTTCAGGTCAGGCGAGTTTGCTGGCCAATCAAGCACAGTAATCCCATGGTCATTGAACCAGGTTTTGGTGCTTCTGGCAGTGTGGGCAGTTGCCAAGTCCTGCTGGAAAATGAAGTCAGCATCCCCATAAAGCTTGTCTGCGGAAGGAAGCATGAAGTGCTCCAAAATCTCCTGGTAGACGGCTGTGTTGACCCTGGACTTAATGAAGCACAGTGGTGCAACACCAACAGATGACATGGCTCCCCAAATCAACACAGACTGTGGAAACTTCACACTGGACTTCAAGCATCTTGCAGTGTGTGCCTCTCCATTCTTCCTCCATACTCTGGGTCCTTGGTTTTCAAATGAGATGCAAAAATTGCTCTCATCAGAAAAGAGGACTTTGGACCACTGAGCAACAGACCAGGTCTGTTTTTCTTTAGCCCAGGTAAGACGCTTCTGAGGTTGTTTGTTGTTCAGGAGCAGCTTGACAAGATGAATACGACATTTGAAGCCCATGTCCAGGATCCATCTGTATGTGGTGGCTCTTGATGCACTGACTCCAGCCTCAGTCCACTCCTTGTGAAAATCCCCAACACTTTTGAATGGCCTTTTCCTGACAATCCTCTCCAGGCTGCGATCATCCCTGCTGCTTGTGCACCTTTTTCTTTCACACTTTTCCCTTCCACATAACTTTCTATTAATGTGCTTTGATACAGCACTTTGGGAACATCCAACTTCTTTTGCAATTACCTTTTGAGGCTTTCCCTCCTTATGGAGGGTGTCAGTGATGGTTTTCTGCACAACTGTTAGGTCAGCAGTCTTTCCCATGATTGTGATTCTTACTGAACCAGACTGAGAGACCATTTAAAGGCTCAGGAACCCTTTGCAGGTGTTAAGGCGTAATTAGCTGATTAGAGTGGGACACTTTTAGCCTAGAAGATTGCACCTTTTCACAATATTCAAATTTTCTGAGATTGTGAATTTGGGGTTTTCATGAGCTGTAAGTTATAATCATCACAATTATGACAAATCACGGCTTGAACTATCTTGCTTTGCATGTAATGAGTCTATCTCATATATTAGTTTCACCTTTTAAGTTGCATTACTGAAATAAATGAACTTTTGCACGATATTCTAATTTTTTATTTTTCGAGTTTCACCTGTATGAATGTAAGTTAGTAGGGACCTCAGATTGTACACCCCTTGAGGGCAGGGACTGATGTGAATGTACTATGTATATATATATATATATATATATATATATATATATATGTATATATATGTAAAGCACTGCATGAATTGACAGCACTATATAAGTACCTGAAAAAAATAAATAAATCTCTGTGCTTCTGTTAGAGAGATTTGCCCTCACAGTGGCTTCACCAGATAGGAAGTGAGAGAAATTCTGCAACAAGGACATAGACTGATATAAATATACTTTTTTTTAGTATAGTAAGAGAAGGCTCGAACTCCTATCAGTTTTTTTTTGTTTAAAGAAAAATGAAAAGACAAATCGCCACAGTGCACAAGTCCCAGCTTCCAATGTCCAATATGTCTGCTTGGCAACAGAAGAGTGTCCCAAGAAAGCAGTGGGTTATCAAGGGGTCCTGCAGTTTCCTTTTAGGATCTGGGCTGATCCAACCAAAGCTCAAAGACAGAAAAGGCAGGAGTGTGGTATTCCATTTACAATTTACAGTAGCATTTGAATACAATGATAAAAAGCACACTTACATCTAGGAAAGTATACATCAGCAGGAAGTGTAGAGACTGGAATGTCACATCAGTGAGGCTGTACACCGTGGTGGCTTCATGAATTCCTAAAGTTGATGTTTGTTTTTAATTAAAAACCATGAGTTTATTTTATTCGCAGTAAGTTTATTTATCATTGTCGACAATTATGATACCTGTGAATTAATTTTTAGTATTTTGACACATGAACTAATATACATGATTTATCAATCAGCATAGTTGATGTTCAGAATTAATTATATATTATGAGTTTATTTTATTTGTAGTCATTTTAATGTATTATTGGTGTTTATAATGAGAAATTTTGTCTAATAATTTTTAGTTCTAAGACTTTTAACATTGTTTAACTAGAAAACGATTTACAGGAGGTAGTTGATTGGTTAGTGTCATTAAGCTTGTAATTAGAATATATGTGGAACAAAGGGTTAATGTATGAGTTTGTCTCAGGTGTCACCTTTCCATTTCAACTAAAGATAATAACCTTTTGCATACAAACATTTTTCTTAATCTGTGTATTGCAGTGCGTCATTCTTAGTATGGGGATGTGCTAGAGCAGGATCCCGATGTCGGCTAGGCACAGTCCTCAAGCCTCATTAATCTAGATCCCACATAAGCCATCCATTACCATATGGGGCAGGTTTGACAAAGAAGAATACTCCTTTGAAACTTGTTCTGATTGATGTGGAGCCTTGCCACAAGGCAGTACAATGGTGGTGGATGCTGCATTTGGTGGATATCTGGTTGTGCACTGAGCAGGTCCCTATGAGCAGGCATTGGAATCGTGAGCTGCCACCACGGTGTACAGCTTCACCGATGTGACATCCCAGTCCATACACTTCCTGATGATGTACAGATACTTAGATGTAAGTGTGCTTTTTATCATTTTATTAAAAAGCTATTGTGAACTTTAATTGAGATCCCACACGCCTGTCTTTTCTATCTGTCAGCTTTATTGTCTGTCTTTGTCCTTGCTACAGAATTTCTATAACTTTCTGTCCAATGAAACCATTGTCATCCACACAGTAAGTGAGGAAAAGTCACTCTAACAAAGCCACATATACATAGCAGTAAAAACCACTAATATGATCTAATCCTTCCCTGCTATATCCAAAACAGAACAACAAGGTTTTGGATGGACATGTACAGTACTTTGATGAGTGAAAAATTATGATAAGGGTGAGCGCTCATAGTTCAGCTGCTGGAACACTCTAAGGAATCACTGGACCTTGCAAGAATAAAATATATACAGCGCTGTGTATTAATTAAAAAAAGAACATGCATACAAATAAAATAGTTCATAAAGTCCTTCCACAATTAAGTGACCATAGGTGTATTTCTTCCTCCTTATAAAGGTGACTGGTATCATAAGAAAAAATGCGCACACACCACCGACCGCACATTTTAAATGCGCCTTTGTGCACTCTTAGATGACCAGAGACATGCAGATCCTAAAGGACACATGGACCATCCCTCTCAAATACTGACATCGGCCTTGGGTGCAGTACCTCCAGGTATATAGAGCCCTTTCGTTCCAAAAGATAGGCAGGCAGGGGTCCCCCTCCTGGTTCCAGGTACCCCAGAAATAGATGCAGATCGTCGGCGCCTGTAAACCACGTGACAGAGCACAACGGGAGGGGCGGGACTTCCAGGTTACGGAAGCCGAGAGAGGGCTCGGCTTCCGTAACAAGTCCCCGCCCCTCCCGTTGTGCTCTGTCACGTGGTTTACAGGCGCCGACGATCTGCATCTACCATTTCTGGGTACCTGAACCAGGAGGGGGACCCCTGCCTGCCTATCTTTTGGAACGAAAGGGCTCTATATACCTGGAGGTACTGCACCCAAGGCCGATGTCAGTATTTGAGAGGGATGGTCCATGTGTCCTTAGGACTGCATGACTGGTCATCTGCAGAGTGCACAAAGGCGCATTTAAAATGTGCGGTCGGTGAGTGCGCATTTTTTCTATCCGATACCAGTCACCTTTATAAGGAGGAAGACCTTCATACACCTATGGTCACTTAATTGTGGAAGGACTTTATGAACTATTTTATTTGTATTCATTTTAGCATGTTCTTTTTTTAATTAATACACCAGCGCTGCACTATATATTATTATTAGTACTTTGATGAGTGGTTGTAGGGGAACTTTGAGTTACTGTGTTCAACAAGTGCATACACAGAGTACTGTATATTTCGCTCCATAAGACGCACCTGACCATAAGACGCACCTGATTTTAGAAGAGGAAAACAAGAAAAAAAATATTCTGAATCAATGGACATAGTACAGGAAATGACCAGAGACTGCGGACATAGTACAGGAGATGACCAGAGACTGCAGACATAGTATAGGAGATGACCAGAGACTGCAGACATAGTACAGGGGATGACCAGAGACTGCAGACATAGTATAGGAGATGACCAGAGACTGCGGACATAGTACAGGGACATAGTACAGAGATGACCAGAGACTGTGGACATAGTACAGGAAATGACCAGAGACTGCGGACATAGTACAGGATATGACCAGAGACTGCGAACATAGTACAGGAGATGACCAGAGACTGCAGACATAGTACATGAGATGACCAGAGACTGCAGACATAGTACAGGAGATGACCAGAGACTGCAGACATAGTACAGGAGATGACCAGAGACTGCGGACATAGTACAGGGGATGACCAGAGACTGCGGACATAGTACAGGAGACGACCAGAGACTGCGGACATAGTACAGGAGATGACCAGAGACTGCGGACATAGTACAGGAGACGACCAGAGACTGCGGACATAGTACAGGAGATGACCAGAGACTGCAGACATAGTACAGGAGATGACCACAGACTGCAGACATAGTACAGTAGATGACCAGAGACTGCGGACATAGTACAGTAGATGACCAGAGACTGCGGACATAGTACAGGGGATGACCAGAGACTGCGGACACAGTACAGGAGATGACCAGAGACTGTGGACACAGTACAGGAGATGACCAGAGACTGCAGACATAGTACAGGAGATGACCACAGACTGCAGACATAGTACAGTAGATGACCAGAGACTGAAGACATAGTACAGGAGATGACCAGAGACTGCAAACCTTTGGGGAGCGGGGGGGGGGGGGGGGGCAGGTACCCAAATTTCACAGGTACCCGCTCCCACTTCCACGGAGTTATCCTCCCCATAGTCTTCTGGGACATGTGACAGGTCCCAGAAGACTACAGGTGGCTATTCACAAAGCACAGCGCTTCTCAGGCATGCGAAGTGGGCACCCGGCTGTGAAGCCTCAAGCTGTCATAGCCGAGTGCCCACACTGAAGATGCCAGCGCCAGGGAGAGAAGACGGCTGGTGAAAGCAGGACACCGTTGGACCGAGGAATAGGTAGAACCGAGGAGAAGTTTCTTCTGTACAATAGAGCCAAGCGGCCGACCCCGGTATTCTAACATGGTGTCAGCTGGAATACTGGTCCGGCCACTCCATATTCGCTCCATAAGACTCACAGACATTTTCCCCCATTTTTTGGGGGGAAAAATGTGCATCTTATGGAGCAAAAAATATGGTAGTTTTTGGCTATGAGATACACATGTTAAGGAAGGAACCATGTAGCATTGGCCTTTTACAGTCAAGTAGGGTTAGTGAAGATGTGCATAGTATAATAGTCTGTAAGAATCAGTCATATTTTACTTTATTTAAGATACATTGATTGGGTAAGTGAAGTTAATGATTAAGGGCCTTTGTCAGTGGGTTTTTGTAGACAGCATAACTGCTTCTCTCCTCATGCATTACTACGAGAATTCAAAATCTGCTTAAAGCAAGTCAATTGCAGGTCAGAAGAAGGTGAACGGAAGGTCAAATGCACTTTTTGAATTCTGAAAGTTTTCACAAACATCTCAAACTAACATCAAAGACAATCTTCAGTTGCCCATTGGAAAGAGCCCAAAGACTGTCAACAGCAGTCATTATTCTGATTGGTTGCGTTAGGGTAATCTGCATATTGGTTTAGGTCTTACTTAATAAAAGCATTTTTTCTAAACACAGTGCATATAGCAGCCAATCAAATTTTAGATTTCAAAATGTTTGTTTAGTCTTTTAAAAAATGAATAAAAGAATAAAAAAAGGATTTATCCTCGCACAACGTATTTATCCTTGCACCTCGCACGACCTCCTACTCTCTAGCTCCCTTGTCTCCTCCTCCCATGTTCGTCTCCAGGACTTCTCCAGAGCTTCCCCCATCCTCTGGAACTCTTTACCCCAATTTATCAGACTATCGCCTACTCTGCTCACTTTTAGGTTTATCCTGCCCTCAGCTAATAATGGAATCTTCTATTCCTCCTACCAGTCCATCCCCCACAGTTATTACCTTTTGTACCACTAGCCCCTCCCTCTTAGATTGTAAGCTCCAAGGAGCATGGCCCTCCTTACCCTCTTGTATTGAACTGTATTGTTGCTGTATTGTCTCCAGTTATATTGTAAAGCACTCAGCACACTGTTGGCACTTTATAAATCCTGTATAATAATAATAATTTATGTCTCTGTTTTATTAGCAACTTGTGGACCATGAGTGTAGGAGATACAGCCTACAAACTCGATAAAGTACTTAGCATCTACTATGTCCTACTCCTATTCCCCTAACACCACCACCCAGGCTCTATTGCACAGGCATTGCTGCAGTCACTACTGTGTAAAATAAAGCTTCCAAACAACTTTCAGAAGCTTTATTTAGTAACATATTGTAACAATATTTTTGACTCAAGTGTAGATCAAAGGGATGACCGTTGATCTGCATATAGTGTTAGGGAAAACAACTTTATAACAGTAAGAAAGCAAGAAATAAATAATTAATTCCATGTTACCCATCATTCCTAATTAAATTCTTCTTATCGTTAGCTATTAATATTCTGCTGTTCTTTATTTTCTATGTTCTTTTTACCGGTAATTAATTAATTAAACTATTTTTCCTTTTATTCATTTTGTTCATTAATTTTCAGTGTCACATTAAAAAAGATGTGTGAACGTGTAAATAACTTTGTCATGCTTTGTAGCAGAAGCCTTATTCTAGTGTCATTATAAATAGGACAAAATATTTAATAAAATGTGCACTTTTTATACTGTATATAGTTATACACATATATACTATATATATGTAAAACTAACAGTTATATACATATTATTATTATTATTATACAGGACTTATATAGCACTGACAGTTTGCTCAGCGCTTTACATTATATACTATATATATATGTAAAACTAACACTGGTCATATTAAAAAAATAACACTTTTTATTGTTTTGTTGTATTTGTCTGTAGTATGTAAATAAAATAACTAAAATAAATTTTGTCAAAATTAGGCCCAATTTGTCCTAAAAAGGGATATTTTAATCAATTATCTTAAAGTGTTACTAAACCCAGGAACCTGCATTCACTATATCTGGTCTCCCACAGTACACAGAACACGGAAATGCAGTTAGTAAATATAAACTAATAAATACCTTTTCTCATCAGCAGTGTATAACAGTCTTGTGACTTCTATCAGTGTTCAGCAGAGCACTGGTTAAAGTAATAATAAACTCGTTTTGTATACTTTTATCTACAGGTAAACCTATAATAAAGCTTACCTGTAGGTAAAATGAATATCTCCTAAACATGCACCATTTAGGAGATATTCGCTCCTTTTGACAGCCAACACATGTGCTGTGCATGACCCAGGACTAGAACTCCTGTCAGCTCCAGCTAGTCAGACAGCCGGAGCTCGTGAACCTGCAAGGAAGACTGGGTGAAGATGGAAGCCTCTGCAGTGGTGACAGCGCACTGCTGGAGGGCTTCTTTGTTTTAAGGTAGGTCTTCATAATGTGCAAGTATGCAACGCATACAGAGAGTATAACAAGCATGTTTTACTGCATATACAGACTGATTTTACTGTTGTGGGTTTAGTAACACTCTAAGTAATGAAAACGTTATAGCAAATTTTGCTAATTTTGTCATTACCAACAGTCTTATAATAGTAATTTAAAAAATGCTCTAGTCCAGGGATAGGTAACCTTTGGCCCTCCACCTGTTTCAAAATTACAAGTCCCTTGAGGCATTACATGACTTTGACAGCCACAAGTATGACTTTCAAAGACTTAATTGGAGTTGTACTTCAACAACAAATGGAGGTCCATAGTTCTGATACATCGGCATAAAGTGAGGTGCAAGAACTGAAGTGGTTTAATATAACACAATGTATGCAAAGTGTTTGCAAGGAAAAACAACAAGATAATGGTAATGCCCCCATCTCTTGCCAGATTTATTACAACCACAGAGGCTGTGGACCAGGGAAGCACAATGGCAAAGGATGGTGCCTAGTTTCTCCCTGCTGCTTATACCTCCACAGAGCCTAATAGCATTTTTTGAAAATCTGCTTCAGCATTTACAGCCCATGTAAAGACATGTAAGTCTAAATGGGGGGGGGGGGGGGTATGGGTGGCTCAGATTTCCCGTGCTGTCCCCTGGCTCAGAAGGCCATGAATTTCCTGGGTTGGCAGAGTCCAGCTCTAAGGAAGACTGCAGGTGTGAAATCCGTGTGAAATGGGTTCCCGAAACATCTATTAACCTCTTCATGCCAGGTTTCAGACGCCAGGAGGCAGGGGGGTTTTAGGGTCATTTGCTGTCACGGTGGTCAGATGATCGGAAAAGGTCCCGATCGCAAGTGGAGCTCAGGACCTTCTCATTAGACACCGACATATGTTCTGGGAGCGTGCAGGGCACACTCTCTCAGCACATATGTGTTTTTAAATGGTATGCAAATATGCGGCTGCTAGGCGTCAAGGCCCATTCGCCAAGAGGCCGCATATTTGCGTATAGTCAGCGTCAAGGGGTTAAAGTGTAAGTTTAGTCTGTTAGTGTATTCTTAGTGCACAACATATTTTATAGTTTCTATATTTACTACATACAGTGGATATATAAAGTCTACACACCCCTGGTAAAATGTCAGGTTTCTGTGATGTAAGAAAATAAGACAAAGATAAATAATTTTAGACCTTTTTCCACCTTTAATGTGACCTATAAACTGTACAACTCAATTGAAACGCAAACTGAAATCTTTTAGGGGGTGGGGGAGTAAACATACAAAACTAACATAATGTGGTTGCATAAGTGTGCACACCCTTAACCCCTTGGCGCCAGCGCCTCCCGGCCCTTTAAGGGTTCAAGAAACCGGGAGTTTTAGGATCATGTGACCACCGTGATTCGCTGTCACAATGATCACGTGATCGGGAAAGGTCCCGATCGAAAGAGGAGATGGGGACCTTTCCTTTAGTACCGAACGTGTGTGTGCTGAGAGTGCGCAAGGCGCGCGCTCTTAGCACTTATGTTTTTTTTTTAATAGAACACAAATGTGCAGCTGCTCGGTGTCTAGGCCTAGATGCCGGGAGGCCGCACATTTGCGTTCGGCAGGCGCCAAGAGGTTAAACTAATACTTGGTTTAAGCACCTTTTGATTTTATTACAGCACTCAATCTTTCTATAAGCATGGCACATCTTGAGTTGCCAATATTTGCCCACTCTTCATTGAAAAACTCTCCAAATCTGTCAGATTGCAAGGGCATCTCCTGTGCACAGCCCTCTTCAGATCACCCCACAGATTTCCCATCGGATTCAGGTCTGGGTTCTGGCTGAGCAATTCCAAAACTTTAATCTTCTGGTGAAGCCATTCCTTTGTTGATCTGTCATGCTGAACGATGAAGTTCCTCTTCATGTTCAGCTTTCTAACAGAAGCCTGAAGGTTTTTTTACATCACAGAAACCTGACATTTTAACAAGGGTGTGAAGACTTTTTATATCCACTGTAGTTTTAGAAGGATTACAATATCCTAGTGCTTATAATAACCCTAACTGAACCCCCACCCTCCTCATTCTATTTATATTCTCATCACAGACCTGATGTTAGGATAGGTGTGCCACCTTGTGCAAGCCATGGGTCATAGTCCAGGTTGCTCTCTGATATGGGGTCCATATTAAGGGATATAAATAGTATGGGGGGTGTAAGTTGGCTGTTCAGCTGTTCAGGTAATATAAGTAAAAGCATTGTTATTTTTAGTCCCCATTCACACCTATGCAAGTGTGTTATTGTGCTTAGATGAGCATTATACACCTCTGATACATACACAATTCAGTGCACACAGTCACTGGCCTGCCACACAATAAAATGACACGGCACTGATTATGTCATATCGTTTAGTTCTGTGTGATCTGCACACATGATATTATCTGTACATAGCACTTAGCTCTACTGGTGTTCAAATATACTCAAACTATAGACATAAACGACTACTCTGTCAATGAAGAACTGACGTGGTCCTTTCAGCTATCTGCCCTTAACCGCCCTGGCCAACAATGTTATTTTGCAGATTTTTATCCAGATGCTCAACATAAAGAA